GGGACAGCCCAGCCTCCCCCCTGCAGCACCCCCGGCCCTGCAGCACCTTCCTTCCCCTTGCAGCACCTTCCCCCTGCAGCACCCGCTCCCCCGGCAGCACCCTCTGCCCCTGCAGCATCCTCACCCTTCGCAAACCCCGCTCCCCTTGCAGCACCCTCTGCCCCTGCAGCATCCTCACTTTCACATCCCCCTCTCCCCCGGCAGCACCCTCTCCCTTTGCACCACCCTCGGCCCTTGCAGCGTCTTCACCCCTTGCAGCACCTTCTCCCTGTGCACCATCCTTTTCCTTGCAGCACCCTCACCCTTCACATCCCCCTCTCCACTCGCAGCACCCTCGGCCCTCACAGCACCCTCACCCCGTGCAATACCCTCAGCCCTGGCAGCACTCTCTCCCTTTGCAGCACCCTAAGCCCTTGCAGCATCCTTATCCTTCACATCCCCCTCTCCACCCACAGGACCCTCAGCCCTTGCAATGCCCTCGGACCTCACAGCATCTTTACCCCTTGCAGCACCTTCTTCCTCTGCAACATCCTTTTCCCTTGCAGCACCCTCACCCTTCACATCCCCCTCTCCCCTTGCAGCGCCCTTTCCCCTCACAGCACCCTCTCCCCCTGCAGCACCCTCAGCCATTGCAGCACCTTCACACCTTACAGCACCCTTGTCCCCTTGCAGCACCCTCAGCCCTTCAGCACCCTCACCCTTCACATCCTCCTCTCCCTTAACAGCACCCTGTTCCCCTGCAGCACCCTTGGCCCTTGAAGCCTCTTCACCCCTTGCAGCACCCTCTCCCCATGCAGCACCCTCTCCCCATGCAGCACCCTTTTCCCGTGCAGCACCCTCTCCCCATGCAGCACCCTTTTCCCTTGCTGCACCCTCTCCCCATGCAGCACCCTTTTCCCTTGCAGCACCCTCACCCTTCGCATCCTGCTCTCTGCTTGCCAGCGGGCCACCTTGGCAGGCACAGCCCCGAGCTACTGATGGGCTCAGCAGTCCCAGACTGGTTCTGAGGGTCCCCTCCCAGCTTGCCAAGGCAGAAGACGCCGCTCAGTGGGTGCAGGACTCCTGTCTTCCTCGGAGGTCACCCAGCAGCTGGAAATGGCTCCAGCAAAGGGACCCCAACGTCCTGCCCCCATCCCTGCTGCCTGTTCTACCATGCCATGGTGTGTTTGTGGGGGACAAAGCTGCGCACCTGGCTCTCACCTTATGTGATGGAGCTAATGGCACACATGCAGCGCTGAGAACCAAATGCCAGCAAGGGGGAAAAAAAAAAAAAAAAAAAAAGACATTTACTGCTTCCAACCCCACAAGAGGCCCTTTGGCTTGTAAAACCAACAGGTCAGGGAAATGCAGGCGACCAGAGCAGGGAAAGAAAGGCTTGAAGATGAAGTAAATGTTTGAGGAGGTTGGAGAAAACGCCCCCCTAATCGTTAAGTGCTGCTTGTAAATTATTCATCGACTGGTAAGAGAGGCGCAAATCTATTCAGCAAGAGGGCGGAAGGGTAGAAAAACTTGGTTAGGCTGAGCCCAGCGTAAACCCCAGCCTAAGGCCGGGTATCTCATCCCTCAGAAATCAGCCTCAAGACTTGGTAAGCCCAAGGTGGGGCTTCATGTCCCAGCACAAACCTGCACGGAGGCTTTTGTGCCTCTGTGGGCCCGGGGCAGGGCAGAGTCACCCCATCTCTGATAATATTCCTCATCGCTTTGTTTTCCTCTCCCCCCCCCCGCTCTGCCGCAACTTCTTAATGAAGGCATTAACGAGCAGACTGGGAGCAGGACCTCGAAAGCTGCAGGGTAGGGATGGGGATCCAGGTTTGATCAGCCAGAGTGGAGTGGGAAGAAGTGACAGGGCTGTGATCAGCCAAGTGCTCCCCCCCAGACCCTGCTGCTGGGGGGCTGTCACATCCCGGCTCCCTCCCGCACCCCCACCCCCCGCCATTAGTAGGGTGTCAGCCCTGATTCCCGGGACTGTCAGGAGATGGGCAAATCCCCCCCTGCATTTGCAATGCAAGCGGAGTGAAAATAATTTGCGCTTGGGGGAAGAA